CATTCACGTCCTTGAATTGTAGTACGTATTTTCATGATCGCTTTTGTTATCCAATATTGAGCCTGTTCGAGTCTGAATTTGGAATTTTCACGTTAGACGGGAATTGTAGCCCACTGAAATAGCTTTGTAACGCCACCGGAACCAGTCGATTTGGAGTCTGGATGAGAGAGTTATGCTCGACTTCATGGACACTACCTAAGATGTTGAGGGATTCTCTCTTCTAATTTGATTTCAATTTCTTAATTGCAACTCTTTTCTAACCCTTTGATCATTTTTGTTTTTTGGACACCTAATTTTCGATTTGTAGCTAAAAGATACCAAATCCACCAATAAAAACAGAAATATAAATGAATCCAATAAAAAATCCACGTAAACGTAAACGTCGAGTATTATTGGTACACTCCACTGTATCTTTTTTATCTAGTGTTTTTGCTGTTGTCTGTTGATGCGTATTAAAGTCATAGTATTATAGTTCGTGTTTTTAAGAACGTCGTTGCGGATGCACTTTTGCGCATATTTTTTTACATGTACGTTTTTGTGCATGTCCATTTCAGGGAGCGTGTTTGTGCATGTTTATTGATTTGTATTAATGTCCTAGGATTGTAGTTTGTGTTTTCATGATCCTTTTTTCCGAATGCACTTTTGCGTGAGTACTTTTGTGCATGCTTTTGGACTTTTACTCATGTGCGTATCTTTTCTAGCGAGTGTTTTTGTGCACGTTTCTTGATGCGCATTCACGTCCTTGAATTGTAGTACGTATTTTCATGATCGCTTTTGTTATCCAATTTTGAGCATGTTCGAGTCCGAATTTGAATTTTCACGTTAGACGGGAATTGTAGCCCACTGAAATAGCTTGTCATACCACCGGAAGGGACGATTTGGAGTCTGGAGGAGAGAGTTATGCTCGACTTCGTGGACACTACCTAAGATGTTGAGGGATTCTCTCTTCTAATTTGATTTTATTTTCTTAATTGCAATTCTTTTCTAACCCTTTGATCATTTTTGCTTTTGGACACCTAATTTTCGATTTGTACCTAAAAGATACCAAATCCACCAATAAAAACAGAAATATAAATGAATCCAATCAAAAATCCACGTAAACGTAAACGTCGAGTATTATTGCTACACTCCACTGTATCTTTTTTATCTAGTGTTTTTGTTGTTGTCTGTTGATGCGTATTAAAGTCATAGTATTGTAGTTCGTGTTTTTAAGAACGTCGTTGCGGATGCACTTTTGCGCATGTTTTTTTACATGTACTTTTGTGTGCATGTCCATTTGAGGGAGCGTGTTTGTGCATGTTTGTTGATTTGTATTAATGTCCTAGGATTGTAGTTTGTGTTTTCATGATCCTTTTTCCGAATGCACTTTTGCGTGAGTACTTTTGTGCATGCTTTTGAACTTTTACTCATGTGCGTATCTTTTCTAGCGAGTGTTTTTGTGCACGTTTCTTGATGCGCATTCACGTCTTTGAATTGTAGTACGTATTTTCATGATCGCTTTTGTTATCCAATTTTGAGCATGTTCGAGTCCGAATTTGGAATTTTCACGTTAGACGGGAATTGTAGCCCACTGAAATAGCTTTGTAATGCCAACAGAACCAGTCGATGTGGAGTCAGGAGGAGAGAGTTATGCTCGACTTCTAGGACACTACCTAAGATGTTGAGGGATTCTCTCTTCTAATTTGATTTTATTTTCTTAATTGCAGCTCTTTTCAAACCCTTTGATCATTTTTGCATTTTGGACACCTAATTTTCGATTTGTACCTAAAAGATTCCAAATCCACCAATAAAAACAGAAATATAAATGAATCCAATCAAAAATCCACGTAAACGTAAACGTAGAGTATTATTGCTACACTCCACTGTATCTTTTCTATCTAGTGTTTTTGCTGTTGTCTGTTGATGCGTATTAAAGTCATAGTATTGTCGTTGCGGATGCACTTTTGCGCATGTTTTTTTACATGTACGTTTTTGTGCATGTCCATTTGAGGGAGCGTGTTTGTGCATGTTTGTTGATTTGTATTAATGTCCTAGGAATGTAGTTTGTGTTTTCATGATCCTTTTTCCGAATGCACTTTTGCGTGAGTACTTTTGTGCATGCTTTTGAACTTTTACTCATGTGCGTATCTTTTCTAGCGAGTGCTTTTGTGCACGTTTCTTCATGCGCATTCACGTCCTTGAATTGTAGTACGTATTTTCATGATCGCTTTTGTTATCAAATTTTGAGCATGTTCGAGTCCGAATTTGGAATTTTCAAGTTAGTCTGGAATTGTAGCACACTGAAATAGCTTTCTAATGCCACATGAACCAGTCGATTTGGAGTCCGGATGAGAGAGTTATGCTCGACTTCGTGGACATTACCAAAGATGTTGAGGGATTCTCTCTTCTAATTTGATTTTATTTTCTTAATTGCAACTCTTTTCTAACCCTTTGGTCATTTTTGCTTTTTGGACACCTAATTTTCGATTTGTACCTAAAAGATACTAAATCCACCAATAAAAACAGAAATATAAATGAATCCAATCAAAAATCCACGTAAACGTAAACGTCGAGTATTATTGCTACACTCCACTGTATCTTTTTTATCTAGTGTTTTTGGTGTTGTCTGTTGATGCGTATTAAAGTCATAGTATTGTAGTTCGTGTTTTTAAGAACGTCGATGCGGATGCACTTTTGCGCATGTTTTTTTACAGGTACGTTTTTGTGCATGTCCATTTGAGGGAACGTGTTTGTGCATGTTTGTTGATTTGTATTAATGTCCTAGGATTGTAGTTTGTGTTTTCGTGATTCTTTTTCCGAATGCACTTTTGCGTGAGTACTTTTGTGCATGCTTTTGAACTTTTACACATGTGCGTATCTTTTCTAGCAAGTGTTTTTGTGCACGTTTCTTGATGCGCATTCACGTCCTTGAATTGTAGTACGTATTTTCCTGATCGCTTTTGTTATCCAATTTTTAGCATGTTCGAGTCCGAATTTGGAATTATCACGTTAGACGGGATTGTAGCCCACTGAACTAGCTTTCTAATGCCACCGGAACCAGTTGATTTGGAGTCTGGATGAGAGAGTTATGCTCGACTTCGTGGACACTACCAAAGATGTTGAGGGATTCTCTCCTCTAATTGGATTTTATTGTCGTAATTGCAACTCTTTTCTAACCCTTTGATCATTTTTGCTTTTTGGACACCTAATGTTCGATTTGTACCTAAAAGATACCAAATCCACCAATAAAGACAGAAATATAAATCAATCCAATCAAAAATCCACGTAAACGTAAACGTCGAGTATTATGGCTACACTCCACTGTATCGTTGTTATCTAGTGTTTTTGCTGTTGTCTGATGACGCGTCTGAAAGTCATAGTATTGTAGTTCGTGTTTTTAAGAACGTTGCTGCGGATGCACTTTTGCGCATGTTTTTTTACAGGTACGTTTTTGTGCATGTACATTTGAGGGAGCGTGTTTGTGCATGTTTGTTGATTTGTATTAATGTCCTAGGATTGTAGTTTGTGGTTTCATGATCCTTTTTCCGAATGCACTTTTGCGTGAGTACTTTTGTGCAAGCTTTTGAACTTTTAGTCATGTGCGTATCTTTTCTAGCGAGTGTTTTTGTGCACGTTTCTTGATGCGCATTCACGTCCTTGAATTGTAGTACGTATTTTCATGATCGCTTTTGTTATCCAATTTTGAGCATGTTCGAGTCCGAATTTGGAATTTTCACGTTAGACGGGAATCGTAGCCCACTGAAATAGCTTTCTAATGCCACCGGAAACAGTCGATTTGGAGTCTAGATGAGAGAGTTATGCTCGACTTCGTGGACACTACCAAAGATGTTGAGGGATTCTCTCTTCTAATTTGATTTTATTTTCTTAATTGCAACTCTTTTCTAACCCTTTGATCATTTTTGCTTTTTGGACACCTAATTTTCGATTTGTACCTAAAAGATACCAAATCCACCAATAAAAACAGAAATATAAATGAATCCAATCAAAAATCCACGTAAACGTAAACGTCGAGTATTATGGCTACACTCCACTGTATCTTTTTTATCTAGTGTTTTTGCTGTTGTGTGTTGATGCGTATGAAAGTCATAGTATTGTAGTTCGTGTTTTTAAGAACGTTGCTGCGGATGCACTTTTGCGCATGTTTTTTTACAGGTACGTTTTTGTGCATTTCCATTTGAGGGAGCGTGTTTGTGCATGTTTGTTGATTTGTATTAATGTCCTAGGATTGTAGTTTGTGTTTTCATGATCCTTTTTCCGAATGCACTTTTGCGTGAGTACTTTTGTGCATGCTTTTGAACTTTTACTCATGTGCGTATCTTTTCTAGCGAGTTTTTTGTGCACGTTTCTTGATGCGCATTCACGTCTTTGAATTGTAGTACGTATTTTCTTGATCGCTTTTGTTATCCAATTTTGAGCATGATCGAGTCCGAATTTGGAATTTTCACGTTAGATGGGAATTGTAGCCCACTGAAATAGCTTTCTAATGCCACCGGAACCAGTCGATTTGGAGTTTGGATGAGAGAGTTATGCTCGACTTCGTGGACACTACCAAAGATGTTGAGGGATTCTCTCTTCTAATTTGATTTTATTTTCTTAATTGCAACTCTTTTCTAACCCTTTGATCATTTTTGCTTTTTGGACACCTAATTTTCGGTTTGTACCTAAAAGATACCAAATCCACCAATAAAAACAGAAATATAAATGAATCCAATCAAAAATCCACGTAAACGTAAACGTCGAGTATTATGGCTACACTCCACTGTATCTTTTTTATCTAGTGTTTTTGCTGTTGTGTGTTGATGCGTATGAAAGTCATAGTATTGTAGTTCGTGTTTTTAAGAACGTTGCTGCGGATGCACTTTTGCGCATGTTTTTTTACAGGTACGTTTTTGTGCATTTCCATTTGAGGGAGCGTGTTTGTGCATGTTTGTTGATTTGTATTAATGTCCTAGGATTGTAGTTCGTGTTTTCATGATCCTTTTTCCGAATGCACTTTTGCTATGAGTACTTATTGTGCATGCTTTTGAACTTTTACTCATGTGCGTATCTTTTCCAGCGAGTGTTTCTGTGCACGTTTCTTGATGCGCATCCACGTCCTTGAATTGTAGTACGTATTTTCATGATCGCTTTTGTTATCCAATTTTGACCATGTTCGAGTCCAAATTTGGAATTTTGACGTTAGACGGGAATTGTAGCCCA